TCTGGAGGTACTCCAGGTTCTGGTGGTCAGTTCTCACCTCCACTGGGTGTCGTGCCCCCTCAAGATGGTGGCACCAGACCTCAAAGGCCACCTTGATGGCCAGTAGTTCCCGCTCCCATACAGTATAGTTACGCTCCGCTGGAAGGAGCTGGCGGGAATAGAAGGCGCAGGGTAAGAGTGGCGCATCAGGTCCGTACTGCTGAGACAAGACGGCACCGAGGGCCGTACTGGAGGCGTCGGTCTCTACCACAAAGGGTCGAGCGGGATCAGGATGTTGCAAGATTGGCGCTCTCTGGAAACAGGCCTTCAACCCCTGAAACGCCTCCTCTGCCTCCTTGTCCCAGGAAAACGGCGTCTTGGGGCGCAGTAGCCGGGTCAATGGGGTTGTGCGATGAGCATAATCTGCAATGAAGGTTCAGTAATAGTTGGCGAACCCCAGGAAACGCTGTAGGTCCTTGCGGTTCCAAGGTGCCGCCCATTCCCGAACCGCTGCCACCTTCCCAGGATCCATCTGCACCCCATCTGGAGAGAGTCAGTGACCAAGGAAGTCCACTGACCGCTGATGGAACTCGCACTTGCTGAGCTTCGCATACAGGCGGTGCTCCCGCAAGCGCTGCAGCACGGTCCGGACATGACCCTCGTGGCGAGCTGGGTCACGGGAGAAAACCAAAATGTCATCCAAGTACACCACCACGTACTTGTCTAGCAAGTCCTGGAACACGTGGTTGATGTACCGTTGGAACACAGCGGGCGCGTTGCACAATCCGAAGGGCATAACCAGGTATTCGAACTGCCCGTACCGGGTCCTGAATGCTGTCTTCCACTCATCCCCGGCTCGGATCCGAATTAAATTGTAGGCCCCCCGGAGGTCAAGCTTGGTGAACACCTGCACCCCTTGCACCCGCTCCAGCAACTCCGAAATAAGGGGCAAGGGGTACCAGTCTGGGATGGTAATTTTGTTCAGGGCCCGGTAATTATGGCAAAGGCGAAGCTCCCCACATTTCTTCTTAACGAAGAGCACTGGCGCAGCGGTGGGCGAGGTAGAAGGCCTAATGAAACCACGCTCCAGGTTCTTGCGCAGGAAGTCCTGCAAAGCTTCTCGCTCTGGCTCTGTTAGAGAGTATAAGCGACTCACCGGCAGGGGCGCTCCGGGCTGGAGGTCTATGCCGCAGTCAAAAGACCGATGCGGCAGCAGCTGGTCTGCCCCCCGTTCCTCGAACACGTCTTGGTAGTCCCGGTACTCGGCAGGGAGCATGGATGCAGCCTCCTCAGTGGGCGTGGCTGCTAGCATCTCGGACTGAGCATGGGAACATGGGTCTGGGAAGTGCACAGTCCATTTGACCCAGTCAATCTGAACATTGTGAGCCTCCAGCCAGTCCATCCTGAGCACCAGGGGGAAACGGGGCATGGAGGCAATGTCCAAAGTTCGCATCTCCCGGTGCTGCTGGAGACACAGGACCAAGGGCTGGGTCTCCTGAGTAACAGCACCTGAACGCAGGAGCCGACTGTCAATTGCCTCCACCTGTACTGGTTCTGGCTTGTTCTGAAGTGGCACCTGATGATGGGCAGCAAAAGCAGCGTCCATATAGGAGCGGGTTGCCCCCGAATCTACCAGAGCATGGGTAAGAATCCAGGGTCCACCTGGAGGGTATAAACGTACCGGGACCATAAGGTGTTGCAATTCCATTGGTGCAGGCCCATTCTGCGCTGTTTGGGACCCCAGGTGGCCAGGGCCATCAGCTACTGGGGTTGGCGGTTTCACCTGTGGCTGGCGTTTCTCCGGACAGGACCGGGCATAGTGTCCGTTTCCGCCACAGTAGAGACATAGATTCCCCTCCCGACGCCGCGTCTTCTCTGCGGGGGAGAGGCGTGGCCGCACTGCCCCGAGCTGCATAGGCTCCCCCGATGACTCGGCTGTGGCCGTGGAGCTGCTGGTAGAAACTGGCGCCGAGAACTGGAAGTACCGGTGGCCCCGGGCCTGACGACGGTCCTTCAGCCGATCGTCTATCTGTAGACTCCGTTGAATGAGGGCGTCTAGTGTGGTGGGGCATTCCATCGAGGCCAGCTGGTCCAGTATCTCGTCCGACAGTCCCTCAAGATACTGGTCCCGAAGTGCAGAGTCATTCCAAGACAAGTCTTGCACCAACAGCCGAAATTCCATGGTGTAGGCGGCCGCAGTGGACTTGCCCTGTTTCAAACGCCTAATTGCCCGGTTGGCTTGACTCTCCTTCTGGGGGTTGCCGGATGCGGCCTCCAAATGGTTGCAAAACCCCATATAGTCTGTCAGCAAGGGGGAGTCTTGCCTGAGCAGCAGCAATGCCCACTTGGCCGCCTGGCCCTTTAACAAACTGATCAAAAAGTGCACCTTGGTGCGGTTGTCAGGGAAGTTCCGGGCTCGCCCCTGAATATACAACTTGGCCTGGGCAAGGAACATGGGAAAGCTGGCCGGGGCCCCATCAAATTTCTCTGGCAAGGCCACTGGGTACTTGCCTGGAGCTGGGGCGTCGGCCACAGGAGCCGGTAGGGCGTCCAACCGCTGCTGAAGTGCCGTAACCGCATCGCTGAGCTGCTGCACGGTTGAGTCAAGGCCTGGTTCTCCTGGGCCAATGCCACCAGCACAGCTGCCTGGTCAGCCATGGCTTCCGGCTTTTCCCGAACGCACCCCTACGAAGGGGGAGTGTGGGTGTGGCCGGAGCAAACTGTGCTGGTCCCGGGGGGAAGGTTACCGTTGGCGTAGTCAAAGTCCGGTCCTGGGTCACTAGCCTGGAAACAGTTCGGCGAGGTCCGAAGCAGGAAGCCGGGCGGGGACAGGAACACTGGAGGGTCAGGTCTGGGTCCGGGCAGGAACAGGTACTCCACAACGACGACGTTGCTTCCGCAACCTGGGACCGGGCTGACTGGCCTTTATCTTCTCTGAGGCCAGGGGCGGTCCCGGCCCCCAGGAGACCCGCCTCTCCTGGCCTTAAGGCGAGCACTCCTCCTGGGAGAAACCAGTTCCCTTTGCCTCTCTGCCCTGAGCCTCTGCGGTTCAGGAGAGGCTGAAGGGTTACTGGGCCCGGGGGGAGACTCACCTGTAGGCACTGAGTCCTCAACCACCTCTGGAGCCAGAATGGATTCACCTGGTGCCTGCTCCTGAGGATCCGGCACAGGTGTAGGTGCCTCAGAATCAAGGCCCTGCCCCAGTTCAGCCGACCCTGGAGGCGGGAACTCCTGTGCAGGCTGGGATTCCTCCGGTTCACCCT